GGAATTCGACTCATGGGAAACACACATTCTTGCCCCAGCATACAAGTGTTGGCCACCTTATCCTCAGAGGCTGTCCCTGAGGCAGACTCCAGCCAGGAAGAAGGCAGTCAGCAGTCTCTTTTCACTTGGGACCCCAAACACCACCAAATGCCCCAAGAATTCTCTCTTACACAGGGCTCCCTCCTCATGCACCAAGACAGGCCTTATAAGTTGCTGCAACTCAGCAAACATTCCTTCAGAGAATGAGATAATGAGTTCTCCTTGCTAGCACCTCCAGTTTCTGAGCATAGTTCTTTTGGAGTATCCACTGTCCTTTACTTTCATGGGGAAGAGGGCAACTCCCTCTCCTTTCTTCCCCATCAAGAAGGGGAAAATCAAATACTTCATCTCCTCATCCTGTAACTCCTACAGATTCCAGGCTTCTGCCTCTGTAGGCAGAATGGGGTCCTGGGGTGAGTGTGGAAGGACCATTTTGGGCACTTTTCAGCAAGCCCTAGAGGGATGATGTGGCAGCTTTCTAGCCCACTTGGTGCTACTTGATTCCTATCAACCTTAGGAATCAAGGCTTTAGCTGAAAGTCCAAAAACAGGCAAAGTCCCAAATCACATTATTCTGTATATTCTTTATACTTCATGGACTCAGGGAGGGAATAAAAGGTGCTGAGAAAGAGAAGCTACTGCTTTCCTTTGTTCTCAGAACCCAACCGTCTCTCACCTGCCTCCACACCTTGACCCAACTTTACATGAATTTGAACTTTGAATTCTGAATTTTGTAAACATGGCCCATAAGAATGAGAAGTGAAGAAGCTGCATATTTCTCACTACTGTTTTAAACAGTTGAATGTTACATTGCATTGAAAGTACCTCCATTGATTACTTTTTATTTGCTTTGACACATTTCTCAAATGCTTTACATTTGTTATGGTTATCCCTAAAATATTTTGAGTCCCCTAGGCAAAAATATAGTAATAGAAATGGAGCAGGGTGGGGGAAAATTGAAGGTTGGCATGTTATGCATTAACATGCAGATAGTCACCAACTTGGGGCTGCTCACAAATTCCTTCCAGATGATATTGCTGGAGACCAGATTACTCTTAGGTCCTCAAAGGGATCAAACTGTCATACATTTCTGGGCCATCGTCTTTGAAATTTGTGAGTCCTTTGAGGGCAAGAATTTTCATCTTTTTAATCCTTGTAACCCTAGTAAATAGAACCCCACTGGCTAGTGCATAGTAGGACCTTAATATTGGATGGATGGGTGGACAGACGGATGGACAGACAAGCGGTCACTTCTTCCTACTGATAGTGATATGAGCTCCTTTTCTGCCCCTTCTAGCCTGGGTACTTACTTGCCTTTTTTGTTCATGAGCAGGCAGTTGAGATTTATCATCTGTTCTTATCCGCATGAACACTATCCACTCTGTCCAGTGCCTATCTTGAGAGCTCCAGCCCTGTACTCTCAAGAACTTTAGTAACTAGCATCTAAAGTGCTCAAACAAGTAACAGTTGTCATTGCTATTATTCTGTTACTCTTACTCTCAGAATTTAACAATGGGCATAAGTTATAAATACCTAAGAAGTTTATTAAAGCACAAACTTCTAGACCCCCCTTCCTTCAAATTCTTATTCAATAGGTCTGGAGTGTGGCCCAGAAATCTGCATGTTCAATAACCACTCCAGCTGATTATTCTATGAGTCCTCAAGAAATCACACTGACATAAGACCTAGGGAACCATACTTGGCATAGTAAGATCAAGCCAAAAATAAAATGTCTCCAGTGACAGTGAGAGGAATTCTTAGACTTGTGGAATTTTTGTTGCTTTGTGAGTAAAAGCTACTGTGCATTTATTAAATGTGTAAGTAGAAACTAATACTAATCATAGCTGAAAAATCTGAGAATAGGACTGGTAATATCCCTTGGTCAAGAAGACAAAACTTACTTTTGGCCAAGATGGATGCGTAGGTGGAAACATAGTGCCTCCTCGCACAACCAAGTTTAAAGACAACAAAGTTTTGGTAACAAAAATGCAACCAAAACAGACAGAAAATTGAACTGTGTGGAAGTCCGACAACAATGAACCATTCAGCCAGACCAGCAAGAGGGGTGGAGTCAGCGGCTGGCGGAGCAGGGTTGCGCAGGAAAAAGTGGCCAGACTGACCCAGGCACACAGGCGGGGGTTGGCAGATCCCAGGCGCAGTGTGGCAATGGGCAGACTCAGTGAGGGCTCAAGGCGGCAGGCTGACCACAGTCACACATTCGCATGCAGATAAACCAGGCAAAGGAGGGGGCAGTGAGAGTGTGAAACCAGGGCCACAATGACGGGAATTAAAGCCTAAAAGCACCAGTTGGAAAAACTTTCGGGGGTTGAGGTGCCAGGAGAAGCTCCCAGGCTCACAGAGAGTTTGTTGGAGAGACCCACAGGGTCCCGGAGGGTACACAGGCCCACACACCCAGGAGTTGGCACAAGGGGGGTTGGTTTGCTTGCGGGAAGCAGCAGAGGGGATCGAAATCCAAGAGAGAGCAGAATGAAAGCCATTGCCCCTCTCTGACCCCGCCCCCACATACAGTGTCACAACCCAGGGACCTGTGTGGCCCTGCCCTGGTGAACACCTAAGGCTCCGCCCCTCATACATAACAGGTGTGAACAGACCAAAACATAATGGCTCAAGAAGAACTCAAAGCCCCAGAGCCAATACTTCTAAGCAACCAAGAGATAGCCAACCTATCAAATGCACAGTTCAAAACACTGGTGATCAGGATGCTCCCAGAACTGGTTGATTTTAGTCACAAATTAGAGGAACAAATGAAGGCTAAACAAAGTGAAATGAAGGGAAATGCACAGGGAACCAATACTGATGGGAAGAAAACAGGGACTCAAATCAATAGAGTGGACCAGAAGGAAGAAACAACCAAACAGAAAAGAATGAAGAAACATGAATACAAAAAAATGAGGAGAGGCTCAGGAACCTCCAGGACATCTTTAAATGCTCCAACATCCGAGTTATAGGGGTACCTGAAGGGGGAGAGGAAGAGCAACAAGTGGAAAACTTATTTGAACAAATAATAAAGGAGAACTTCCCATTCTGGCAAAGGCAATAGACTTCCAGGAAATCCAGGAAGTTCAGAGAGTTCCAAAGAAGTTGGACCCAAGAAGGAACACACCAAGGCACATCATAATTACATTAGCCAAGATTAGAATGAAGGAAAGAATCCTAGAAGCAGCAAGATAAGGGGACAGTCAGCTACAAAGGAGTTCCCATCAGACTGTCAGCTGATTTCTCAAAAAAGACCTTACAGGCAAGAAGGGGCTGGAAAGAGGTATTCCAAGTCCTGAAATCCAAAGACCTACAACCAAGATTGCTCTATCCAGCAAAACTTTCATTTAGAATGGAAGGACAAATAAAGTGCTTCTCAGATAAGATCAAATTCAAGGAGTTCATCATCACCAAGCCCTTATTACATGAAATGTTAAAGGGACTTATCTAAGAAAAAGAAGTTAAAGAAATATGAACAGTGAAAGGACAACAAACTCACAGTTATTAACAACCACACTAAAACAAAAGCAATCTAAGAGGATAGCTAGATCAGGAGTAGAACCATAGAAATGGAGATCACATGGAGGGTTAGCAACAGGGGAGTGGAAGGGGGAGAAGGGGGAGAAGGGACAGAGAATAAGTAGCATAGATGGTAGGTACAAAATAGACAGGGGGGCAAGAATAGTATGAGAAATATAGAATCTAAAGAACTTGTGACACAGGGACATAAAGTGGGGGAATGGGGGAGGGGGCATGCAGGGTGGAGAGGAATGAAGGGGAATTATGCCAACTGTAATGGCATAATCAATAAAATATATTTAAAAATAAGACAAAACTTTTCATGGTAGAATTAGGCATTATAAGGTGATAGTGCCATCAACCTGTAAAGCCTCTTAAGTTTTTTTTCCCAAACAGTAGCATTCCAGAGTTTTTTAAATCTTTGTATTGTTCATGTACTTTTTAATTTTGTTCGATTATCAATATTATGACATGTCAGGTGATGACTATGTCTATTTTGTAAGCTTTATATATTTCAAATGTGTTTTTTTAACTTACTGATCCTTACTGGGGGGTGGATCAGGAAGAACCTCTCCACTAGCATGGTTGTGCATAGTAGGGGAGTTAAAAAAGGACAAAAATTAACTGCCTCAAAACTACCACGTATTTTAGAAAAGTTAGGGAATAGAAGTGGCAGACCAGCCAAGATCATTTTTAACTTGTCATTTTTCAAACCAGATTATTGAATGAGACAGTTCGACTGAGGTAGAAATTAATATTTTAACTGTATTTCTACACTACAGAGATTTTTCTCTAATGAAGTAATTTTCTTAAGAAACTTAAAATTTTGGATCATTTAAATTTGTGGGGTTTTAAAAATATATTTAGATTCTTTCAATGTCTTCTCACATTCTGTGACTTTCAAATTCAAAAGGGAAAAAGGTTATGTCCTTGATTTCCTGTGTAAGGGCACCAGCACTGATACTGTTAATGAACATCTCTAGTAAAATAAGCACAAACCTTTTGTGAGAACATTCCTTCCTAGAAGGAGTTGGGTTTGCCCTTTCCCAAGATGCAGATTTCTGTGAAAATTCCTTCAGTCGCATCTTGGCCAGAAAGCATTCTTTCAAGTTACTCTGTATTCATCTTACTAAATGTTGCTTCTATCAGAGGAAAAAGTACTGTGATTACTGAAATATTGATGAATTTAAAATAACAAGGCAATTGCCACTTTGACAGAATTTTGGGCCATCTCTTTAAAGGTGATTTTTTAAAAAGGTATGCATATGGCTCAGATTTCATCAAGTTTCCTTGAATGATCAAGAAATGATTAACAAGAAGATCCCACCGAAATCATCAGCCTGCCTTTTTGAGAGGAAAATATTGTTTAGTGAAATAATAAATATGAAGCTCTGATTTTTAGCAAAGAATGATAAATGTTGACTGGATTTTCTTCTTTGCTTTTAGCTGTATGACAAAATCAACACAAAGTCCTCACCACAAATCAGGAATCCTCCAAGTGATGCAGTACAGAGAGCCAAAGAGGTAAGTGACATATTTTATAAACACATCTGGGTGCATAATTGCTGCCTTTGTTGAAAACATTTCTACTGCACAGGAAGCAGTTTCCTTGAAGTCATAGTTGAACCATTATACTCAGATTTAGCATTTCTAAGTTTATAACTTAGCATTTACATACAGAAAAGAAAAAAAATCACAGAGCAACATTGCCTAGATTTCTGGTTCTGGTTCTGCTATGTAAACTTGAACACGTTAATATATTAATTTTGCTTTTCTTTTTAAAAAAGATTATTTTATTGTACTTGGTGAAAACACACATGCTCTGAAAATTTGAGTTGCTTTCTTAAGGTGGTAATGTTTGAAAGTTAATTAAATATCTGTAGCATCTAAGTTCAGAGATAACTCATTTCTGTAAATTGTCAGTTGATGTGTATCTGCCACAGACTTTAAAACTTTTTAAATATAGAAATATAAAATTGCAGAAAGCTTGGAAAATAAAATGAAAATGAAAAATACTATGTTAGGGTAATGGGATTGTGGACGAATTTTTCTTTTCCAAACTTTCCAGTCACTATTCATTTTCATATAAATTTTTATATAGTTACAATCAAAATGTATCTTTTTTTTAACCTAACATTATATAATGAGCATTTTTCCATGTTTCCACTTGGTCCTTATACACAAAATATAAGTTCTAATGATGGCCTAATTTTTCTGTTATTACTAAATTATAGTGAATTAGCAATTCCTCCATTGTTAGATACCTAGTGGGATTTTTTTTTCACTTTTTGATGTTATAAAAGTCTTCATGCAAATAAACATTTCTCCTTGAAAAAGATTGTTTCTTATGAAGTGAGATTACTAAGTGAAAGAATATGAAAGAACCCTGACCATTGTGGCTCAGTTGGTTGGGTGTCATTCCACAAAGCAAAAGGTTGCTGAATTCCAGTCAGGGCACCTGCTGTGGTTGCAGCTCCATCCCTGGAGACAACCTATCAATGTTTCTCTCACATCGATGTTTCTCTCCCTCTCTTTCTTCCTCTCTTCCCCTCTCTCTAAAAATAAATTTTAAAAATCTTTTTAGAAAAAGAATATGAAAGATATCATTTCTTCCCTGGAAGATTTTAAACCCAAGACATATACTGTAAAATACCGTATATTCATTGAGAAACAAGACCTAGGACAGGGGGTTTCAAGGCCTGCCCACCTCTGGTCAGGGCCCCAGCCAGGAGAAGTCCTCTCTTACTTAGGAGACCACACCTCTGTGTTTAAAATTATACATTGTGAGAGTGGTAGGGAAGCAGAGAGAGTGCATTTAGATAAGAAAGAAACCCTGTAGTTTCTATTTGTCCATCTGTTTCCTGAATTGGTTGAGTAGCACTTAGGTATACTGGAAACCTAAGGCTTAGCCTGAGTGACCTTGAAACATTCCTTCCTGCCATGGTATTAAGATTCTTCAATGGGAGATGAGAGGTTCCTACTAAATGGATGGCTTTTGTGCCTCTGGCATCTAGTCCTGCTGCAGTAATCCTTGACTGGTTCAACTTTTGGAATTGAATGCAATTTGTATAACCACTCTGTAAGTCCAGCCATCTACAGTTAATCATAGTGGTTTGTTTACTCTGAAAGACAACAGAAGTTTACCCAAGACTCATGTCACGTGATTAGATTTTAAATGTGTAAACTCCATCTTGGTGTTAAGGGATAGCTTTTGGAGAACAATTTCATTTGAAAACAATCGTTTTTACCTGTATAGAGAAAATGTTAACAACTAATTAGTGAAGAAAATTTCAGTGAAAAGAGAAATGTGTTTTTTTATTATTATTTTCTTGGATGCCTTGGCAATTAATCCTAGGAACCATTGGCAGAGCAGTGGTTCTGTGTAAGTGAGAAGATGAATGTGGAGAATAACATTGATTCTGCAAAGGCTGCAAAGAAAATTACTCGTGTTTTTCTTCTTTAATTTGTTTTTATTTGAACCTATGTCATTTTAATCATTCTAAAAGGAATTGACAATTTTGTTAATGTAAAATAAAACTGTTATTAACTTTTATTACAGATTCCTTTTGGTGAGTTTGGTGAGTTTGGAAAAAAGTTTGCGGAGATAATTTACCATTAAGTTAATTAAGTTACACTTGTAATAAATATGTTGTACACTTACTATTTTGTATTTTTCAATAACCTTTTGAGTTATCATTGGATAATGTAGGCAAGGACTATTATAACAATTTTTATTGTTATTGTCATCAATGTAGTTCTTTTACATATTAATAACCTTTGAATAAAATATTGTTTTTTCCAAAATAATTATTTTTTCTGTCAAAAATCCATAATTTTTTAATTTAAAAGACTTCTGTATTTTTAAAATTTTGCATCCTCTCTGTACTATTACATATCTTGCTTATTTTTTTATTTTTTTAAGGTTTTATTTATTTATCTTTAGAGGGGAAGGGAAGGAGAGAGGGAGAGAAATATCAATGTATGGTTGCCTCTCATGCGTCCCCTGCTGGGAACTGGCCTGCAACCCAGGCATATGCCCTGACTGGGAATCGAACCACAATCCTCTGGTTCACAGGCCTGTGCTCAATCCACTGAGCTACACCAGCCAGGGCCATATCTTGCTTATTCCTTATTTTTTAGGTATTGGAAGAAATTTCATGTTACCCTGAGAATAATGATGCAAAGGAACTAAAGCGTATTTTAACACAACCTCATTTCATGGTAAGTAACAAACTTCCACAGAACTAAAAACTTTCTTTCAAAAGAAGTTTTTAATATTTTTATTTTTATTAAAGTATAGTTAGCATTCAATATTACATTAGTTTCTGATATACATCATAATGATTCAACATTTATATACCTTATAAAGTGATCACCACAATGTCTAGTAACCATCTGTCACCATGCAAAGTCATCACGATATTATTGACATATTCCCTGTGCTGTACACTACATCCCTGTGGCTTATTTATTTTATAACTAGAAGTTTGTATGTCTTATTCCCCTTTACCTTTAAAAAAGTATTTTATAATCCTCATAAAATAACCATCTTCATCAAACATTTTTATTCATATATCAGACTTAAAATTATACTACAAATTAATACCAAATGCATTAAGATTCTTTTGTTTACTTGTGTCACAGTTGTAGATGCTGTTTTTGAGGTGGCTCTTCAAATACCATGTGGCCATCAGACAAGGGATTTGCTTCCTACAGGGTAGTACTTAAGTCATTAGAACTGTTTATGTTACCTAAACCACAGAGAGCCCAAACTGGAGACAGTTCTCACTAATAAAAAATTCTCTGAACATAGGTGATATATTACAGTAATTACATCTCTTCACAATGCAGAACTCTTATACTTTTCTTCATTTCTACTATTTAAATGGATAGCACCTGTATTTAGTCAATTATTACAAAGCTAAATGGCTAACAAAATAGATGAGATACTTTTCTGTAGAAGAAGGTTCATAAGTTGTCTACCTAACTGCAATTCAAAAGCATAATTACAGATGGGAATTTATATTAAATATAACATTTTTAAAACATTTGACACATCAGGTTCAAAAGACTATGGTATATTTACACAGTAGAATTCTACGCAGCAGAAAGAAGGAGCTCCTTTGCAATAGCATGGATGGAACTGGAGAGCATTATGCTAAGTGAAATAAGCCAGGCAGTGAGGGAAAAATACCATATGATGTCACCTTTAACTGGAACATAATCAACAAAAGAAAAAAGCAAACAAAATATAGACAGAGACATTGAAATTAAGAACAATCTAACAATAGCCAGAAGGGAGCGGGGAGGGGACAGTGGGGAGAAGGGTTTTCAGGAACCACTATAAAGGACCCATGGACAAAACCAAGGGGGAGGGTGGAAGCAAAGGAGGGAGGCGGGGTTGGAGAGAGGTGGGGGGGGAAGAAAATACAGACAACTGTAATTGAACAACAATAAAATAATTTAAATTAACAAAAATAAAATAAAACATTAGACACATCAGTATATATGGAATATGTGTGGAAAATGGAAAATCCAAGTGACTGCCCTTTGGGAGAAAATCTGACTTAAAAGGTATGTTCTCTTTACTACTATGAGGTGAAATTTTAAAAAATAACAGTAACAGTGTAAATGTGTCATATCAGTGACTGTGAATTTTGACGTATATTGTACTGTGTGATACAGTGTGTTAAAACATTTACCTAGGCATTGAAGTAGAATTTTTCCTTAAAGTAGAATTTTTCCTCAAAGTGACCACCTAAGAAGAAACAATAACCATATTCACCCTAACTCTCCCACCCAAATATGAAAGGCTGAAATCAAGTATAATCCTTGAGAATATTTGACTTGATTCCATATGGTAGCAGCACTCTCAAGTGAATTACGGGAAACCAGGTTCTGACTGTACCTGTTTGTATTCACCTGCAGAACATTCTAATACATGCTGACCTACTGAAGCAGGTCCCATCCCCAGTGAATGGGCATGTGTCACCTCAGCTTGATAGTTCTCATTGAATTTATTTTTTAAAGACTTTATTTATTTGTTTTTAGAGAGAGGAGAAGGGAATGAGAAAGAGAGGGAGAGAAACATCACTGTGTGGTTGCCTCATGCATCCCAAACTGGGGACCTGGCCCACAACCCAGGCATGTTGTGCCCTGACTGGGAATCGAACCGGCAACCTTTCAGTTCACAGGCCAGTGCTCAATTTACTGAGCCACATGAGTCAGAATTTATGATGGTATTTTATAGTTGTTTTTACCTGTTGCACAGACCAAGAAAATGAAGAAACTTCTTGCCTTACTAGTCTCCTCAAGTTTGATAAATCACAATGTCAGGAGTTAATTATCCTTATGTAATATTATCTTGTTCCCTGATTGTTTCATATGTATAAGCCATGTTTCCCCATATTGTAATTAATTCCCCTTTAGCCATCATGCCTTATATAGTGTAAAAGTGGTTAAAGCTGTGGGTTCAGATGGATCTGGGATTGAACTCCAGCCTTGCCACCCTCAACTCTGAACTCTCACTCTCTGAGCCACCTTTATGAAGTTAGAAGAAGAATTAAGTAGATGGTATATCTACCATGCTTAGCACATGCCTGATACATGCTTGATGCCTAATAAATGTTAGCTAATGAACATTATTAGTTACTCCATAGTGTCTTATCATATGTACAATATATAGTATGTTCTCAGTAAAACTGAATAGGCCCTGGCTGGTATAGCTCAGTGGATTGAGTGCGGGCCTGTGAACCAAAGGATCATGGTTTGATTCCCAGTTGGGGCACATGCCTGGGTTGCAGGCCAATTCCCAGCAGGGAATGCACGAGAGGCAACCATACATTGATATTTCTCTCCCTCTTTCCTTCTCTTCCCCTCTAAAGATAAATAAATATAATCTTTTTCAAAAACTGAATAAGTTAGGAACTTGCCCATTTGCAGATAGATTAGCCTCGCCTCAACTGTTGTGTTCAGTGTGTTTTCTGTAGATACAAACCTGAACATTTCTGATAGATGTGTCATTCTATAAATTGCTAAATGACTTCAGCTCAAGTCAAAGAATGATATATGGCCATTTGAGACCTGTAAATCTTTCAGATTTGACGTAAGCTAAATAAAGAAATTAACATATACCCAAATAAGAGCCTTTTTAAGGCTAAGTTAAGGTTCTTTTCAAAATCATTAACACTCAGATACCTCCATGTCTCACAACTTACCTACCTTCAAAGCCTTGATTATTTTGATTTTCTGAAGTCAGAGAGAAGTTAATGTGTGTGTTGCTATTAGTACACATTTTCAGAAGTAATAAATAGTTCTTATAATTTTTGAATAGCTAGATGCTTAAAAAATATTTCATTCATTTATCAAATATGTAATTGCCTACCGTGTGCCAGGTACCACACTAGGCACCAAAGATAGTGGTGCATAGGACAAATAAGGTCCCTGCCCTCATGGAACTTCCATTCCATTGGGGGTGGTTGTGAGGATAGATAGGTGGGCGAGACAGATAGTAGTAAGCAGGAAAACTACCAAGATAATTTCATACAATGATAATAACTATGAAAAAAGGATAATAAGGTAGAGATGATAGTAAAGTGGGAGCTATTTTAGATAGTCAGGGGAAAGCCCTTATGAGCAGTTAACACGTGAACTAAGACTTGTTATGTGAAAGAACCAGCCTTCTGAATGGGCAAGCCTGAGGAAGAACAAAAGCAAAGGCCCAGAGGCAGGAAGGAGCTTTGTAGGGTCAAAGGACAGAAGAAAGGCCATTGTGGCTGGGACATAGTGAAAAATAAAGCAAGTGGTACAAGAAGAGCTAGAAGATAGGTCCTTCCAGGCCATGTTAGGGAGTCTGGATTTTCTCGATTCCTGTAGGATGTCACTGAGTGATTGCAAGCAGGAAAATATTATCAGATCTGTGCTTTAGAGGTTGCTGGACCTGATGTGTAGAGAATGGACTATAGGGGGATAAGAGTTAAAAGAAGAAAGCCAATTCAGAGGCTGCTATGAGAAGTGGTAGAGGCTTGGAGAAAGATGGGGCTGGTAGAAAATTGACAGCTTGAGATTCTGCATCACAGATGGTTGACTATGACAGGACTTGCTGATAGATGGGATGTGAGGTGGTGTGATTAATCCCTTTTACACTTCACAGAGGAAATCGTGTCCTTGAAAGGTAAAGGGGCTTGCTTGAGGTCACTCACATAGTAAGCGGCCTTCATGTAGTTCAAAATACAGATCTTCCTGGCTCAAAAATCCATGCTCTTAAAAGTGGGTTGACATTTTGATGGTTGCCAGATGGAAGGGAGTTTGGGGGATAGGTGAAAAAGGTAAAGGGATTAAGAAATATAAGTAAATTGTTACAGAATAATCATAGGGATGTAAAGTACAACATAGGGGATATAGTCAAAAATATTCTACTAACTATGCATGATGTCCGATGGGTACTAGATTTATAGGGATGATCACTTAGTAAATTGTGTAATGTGTATACCTGAAACTGATATAATAATGTATGCCCACTGTAATTGAAAAATAAAAAAATGATATTTAAAAATTGCAGAAAATTTTAATCATATAAACATTGTAAAATCATGGTTTCAAAATCTTAATATTTTGAAGAAATATTAAAAGCTAAAGGGAAATATTTTAATGCCTATAATATGTTGTTATTATGCCAAGGTTTGGGAGTTATTCTTAGTTATTCTAAATATAAATTATATATTTAATTTCACAGTTATATGTTCAATTATCTGGCTTTTCCTTTGTTTTCTGATCATTGAAATATGGAGATTTCACATTGACTTACCTGACACTTACAAATGCAGACACTTGTAAATATTTACAGTAATTCAAGGAAGAATAAGTGTAAATTTAAAAGATTATTTAAAATCTGTACTCTAAAGGTCTTGAAAAATATTATCACACTAGTCCCTTTTTCAGTTATTCCATTTGAAAGGCTGATTTTTTTAAAAAGAAGAGATCTTTTGTTTTTTGCAATTGTAAAATATAAAACAGTAAAGATAAAGACAAATATTATTAAAGTTAATACTTTATTTTTTGTCTTTAAGATATCAGATCTAAAACAGAAGTTTTTAAAAGCAAATTTGTATCATGCTTTCCAAAAAAACAAAATGGTTAAAATAACGTTAGGTTGTCATTAAATTTTCATTAAGAGATAAATTTTATGATTTGTAATTAAGAAGCCAGAGGAGCCTTGGCCAGATGGCTCAGTTAGTTGGGACATTGTCTAGTACACCACAAGATTGCTGATTTGATCTCTGGTCAGGGTGCTTGCCAGAAGCAACTGATTGATGTTTCTCACATTGATGTCTCTTTCTTTCTCTCTCCTATTCTGTATCTCACCCTCTCTCTTTCTCTACCTTCCTCTCTAAAATCAATAAACATATCCTCGGGTGATGACTAAAAATAAAAGAAGCCAGAGACACTAATTTTTGACCCTGAAATTAGTATTTTTCCATTCATTTGAAACTAGTCAGATTTTTTTACTCATCTGAAGTTGCTAGTTGTTTTGTCTGTATTTTAACAGTACAAAAAATGAAAGTATTTCTTTCCTATTACATAATTCTTACATAATTAAAAATAACAGCTATTTCACCCTGGCTGGTGTGGCTCAGTGGATTGAGTGTGGGCCTGTGAACCAAAAGATCGCGGTTCGAATCCCAGTCAGGGCACATGCCTGGATTGCAGGCCAGTTCCCAGAAGGGGCCAGTTCCCAGCAGGGGGCGCAAGAAAGGCAACCATACATTGATGTTTCTCTCCCTCTCTCCTTCCCTTCCCCTCTAAAGGTAAATAAATAAAATTTTTAAAAAATAACAGCTATTTCAGCTTAGTAACAATTGCTCAGTCATCCCTCATTACATATTTGAAGAAAAATATTCAAACTTTGATTTTCCTGCCCTGGCTAGGAGGCTCAGTTGGTAATTACATTCCAAGCATTGTCTCATATACCAAAAGGTTGCCAGTTCGATTCCTACTCAGGGCACATACCCAGGTTGCTGATTCGATCCCCAGTCAGGGCACATATGAGAAGCAACTGATCAATGTTTCTCTCTTACATTGATGTTTCTCTCTCTCCCTCTCTTCTTTTCACTCTAAAATCAATAAAAACATATTCTCAGGTAAGATTTTTTTAAGCCCCCGATGGGGTTTTTGTTGGCATACTCTTAATGGCTTTTTAAAAACAATCTGTTGCCCTGGCCAGCATGGTTCAATTGGTTGAGCATCATACTGCAAACAAAAAAGTTGCTGGTTCAGTTCACAGTCAGAGCACATACCTGGGTTGTGAGCTCTTTGCTCTTGCCCCTATTGGGGTGCTTGCAGAAGGCAACCAATGTTCCTCTCTTTATTCCCTCCCTTCCCCTCTCTCTAAAATAATTTTTTTAATTTTTAAAAAATAAAAACAATCTGTTAAGAGGCCCCATGTTTTCTGTTTACATATACGTTGGAGGTTTGCATTAAGTTTTATTTTGTGGTAGCAATCTTTTACAGTGGCAAATTGTGGTTAATATCAAGTATGTCTTTATATGATGACCTATTTAAGCATTTTTCTTTTAAACTTCAATTTGGGCAACATTTTGTGATTGTGACTTTATCCTTCCTTACAAGTAGTACATTAAAATACAAGTGTTTGCTTATATATTTAAAAGGATAAATGGAAATAATTGACAAAAAGCAGTGTAAACACTTTCTCCAACCTGTGTGACTGGCATCATAACCTGATAAAAGCTTGGTTCTCTGTTTACCTGACTCTGTATGAGGACCATATCCTCCAGTCAACAAAGCATGTTTTTAAAAATTCACTAACTGTAGCCCTGGCTGGTGTGGCTCAGTTGATTGAAGCATTGTCCTATAAACCAAGAGGTCATGGGTTCAATTCCTGGTCAGGGCACATGCCTAGGTTGTAACTTCAGTTACACGTACAAGAGGCAACCAGTTAATGTTGCTCTTCCTCTTTCTCTCCCACCCTTCCCCTCCCTCTAAAATCAATAAGCATGTCCTTGAGTGAGGATAAAAAAATAAAACAAAATACAATAAAACTTACTAATTATGGAAAACATCTATAATTGATACAGTTAATTTAAGCAGATGAAGTTTTTCAGTTTGTCTGTTACTGATTTTTGCTTTCTGCCCTTAGTCTCTTAAATGGCCATAATTAGAAAAATGGGCATTTACCCACACTTGGGCTCAGGGTACCAGCGCAGGGTGTAGTCAGGCAGTGGTCAGAAAGCCAAGATCCCCAGGGCCGTTGTGGAGCCCCTCACCCAGACCCCAGTTTCAACCAGCCCTCTGAAATCTTGGAAATATTTGCCATTTCCATTAGAAACCCAAATGCATATATGGCTTCAAGTACATGCTCTATTAATAACAAATCACTGCATTGTTAATTTCACTGCATTGTTATCTTATTTTTGCCTCATATACATGGCTTAAAATTAAAATAGCCAAATCATAACTTTGATAAGCCTTTTAACTCAATAACTTAATTTGAGATGCTAAGAGTAATATTTTTAAAGTGATTTTAATTGCATTTCGTTATCACGAGATATTACATTATTATACAGATCACAAATTAAAACAGAACTGTATTTATAGTTAGCACACAAGAAAATATAATTGGTATAAAGCTCCAAACATACCGATAGTCAGCTGTAAAATTCTCTTTGAAGTAGAAATGTTAAAATATTCATGCTTATTAAAAACTTTTTTGTGATGGCATCAAAAGCACAGTATGTAGAAGAATATTCACTTTTAGGAAAACAAGATGACATATGCAGATATCAATACAAAGAAATCACTTTTTCTTTGTTAACAGGCTTTGCAAAAGAAAATCATAATGATAATTGTTAACTTATGTTTCATTTAGTCAGGTGCTCCAAAAAGTAGAAATGAATAAAAATATCAGGTAGGATTAGATTTTGAGCTCTGTATCATGTGATATTTTGGAAAAAATTTTCAGGTACACATGTGTTTTTTATTTATTTTACTAAGCCATATGTTATAAATTATCTGTATGCTTTGGGTTATATAACAGTTATTGTTAATACCATCAATGAAAGATACTTGCTCAGCACACCAATTATTGCACTGTTTATTTTTTTCATTTGTTTCCATTTTAAGTCCCAGCACAAATTTGCCATCTCTATTTACAGATGATTCTTTCTGCTAAATTATTTGAAATTGCATTACGTCAGCCTTTATTTGAACAAGTTAGTTGGTGCTTTCTTATAGCAACAGGCAGTACCTCTAACCCAGGTAATCAACAAATACATGCATTCATTGATTTACTCATTCATTTATTTGTTCATTTTTTAATTTATCATGATTATTTGTCATAAAGAAACCAGGGTATAGTTGTATCTAGGTATAATGGGCTATGAGTCCTCTGTAGATGAGATATACCTTTAAGAGTCAAAGAATAATTTTATGTATGTTTATAGAATAGATTTCTGCTGGAATAGTGCTACTATTAATATTGCACTTTCTTCATAAAATACCAGGCCTTACTTCAGACTCACGATGTAGTGGCACATGAAGTTTACAGTGATGAAGCATTGAGGGTCACACCTCCTCCCACTTCTCCCTATTTAAATGGTGATTCTCCAGAGAGCGCTAATGGAGACATGGATATGGAGAATGTGACCAGAGTCCGGCTGGTTCAGTTCCAAAAGAACACAGATGAACCAATGGTAAGTAGGGAAACAAAATTTTCTATATTCTCATAAAATGACAGCATGAGTTAGAGCAGCTAACTTCAACCTATACTACTAGTAGGTGGGGACAGAAGGAGGGCATGAATAGTTTTAAAGAAATCAGTTTCCAGATCCTCATTACCACAGTTTCCGGATGCCTCATACCACAGGCATCCCCCACTGCTGCCCAGAATTGTTGTGATGACATCATGCCTAAGGCATATTGATTCTCCTTCCCACCTCTTCTTTCAGAATTGCTCTTCAGCCCTGACTGGTGTGGCTCAGTTGGTTGGGCACTGTCCAGCATAGCTAAAGGCTATTGGTTCAACTCCCAGTCAGGGCATATGCCTGGGTTGTGGGTTCAGTCCCAGGTCAGGACATGTACAAGATGCAACAAATTGATATTTCTCTCTCACATCCATGGTCTCTTCCTCTTTTCTTCCCCCCGTACCTTCTCTCTAAAAATAAATAAAAATAAAAATCTTTTTTAAAAAAGGAATTGCTCTTCAGCTTTACCAAAAATAAAAGGAAAAAACCCGGAAGAATATATACTGGTACATTACCCCAGAGTGTGAAAACATCTAGGGCAACAAAAACTGGGGGAGACATTTTGAAATACTGGTATTGGTTTTGAAAAAGTGAGTGGGGTAATTCAGTTGGTTGGAGTATCATCCCAATACACCAAGGTTGCAGGTTCAGTCCCTGATCAGAATCAACCAACAAATACATAAATAAGTGAAACAACAAATCGATGTTTCTCTCTCTCCCCCTTTCTCACGCTAAAGTCAATAAATAAAATTTTTTTTAATATCCATGCTTTAAGGACTTCTGTCCACAATGGAGGCATAGGTAGATATACATTGCCAGCTTGTACAACCAAAAGAAGGACAACAAATTTTAAAACAAAAAATAACCAGAACTGCCAGAAAATTGACCTGTATGGAAATCTGACAACCAAGGAGTTAAAGAAACATTCATCCAGACTGATAGGAGGGGCAGAGAGGACATGCAGCAAGGCAGTGGCTAGAGGACCAGGGCAGTCCCACATTTGCGTGCAGATAAATTGGGAGGAGCAACTGGGGAGCGAGACAGACAATGTAGCCCAGGGTTCCAGCATAGGAAAACAAAGCCTCAAACACCTCTGGCTATAAAAACCTATGGGGGTTGTGGCAGCAGAAGAAACTCCAAGCCTCACAGGAAAGTGTGTTGGAGAGACCCACAGGGTTCTAGAACATACACAAAACCACCCACCTGGGAATCAGCACCAGAAAGGCCCAATTTGCTTTTGGGGAGCAAACAAAGTGATTGAAAGCCATCCCAGAGCCAAGCAAGCAACATTGTTCCCTCTCTGACCCCTCTCCCACATCCACTACCAGAGTGCAGTAACATGGCTTGCCCTGTCCTGGTGTATACCTAAGACTCTGCCCCTTGATAGTAACAGGTGCATCAAGACAAAAAAAAATATGGCCCAAATGAAAGAACAGATCAAAGCTTCAAAAATAGAACTAAGCAATGAAGAGATAGCCAACCTATCAGATGCACAGTTCAAAACACTGCTAATTAGGATGCTCACAGAAATAGTTGAGTATGTTTGCAAAATAGAGAAAGAAGTAAAGGCTATGCAAAGTGAGATAAAGGAAAATATACAGGGAACCAATAGTAACAAGAAGGAAACTGGGACTCAAATCAGTGATTTGGAACAGAAAGAAGAAATAAAGATTCAAACAGAACACAATGAAGAAACAAGAACTCAAAAAATTAGAGGCTTAGGAATCCCCAGGACAACATTAAATATTCCAATATCCAAATCATAGGGGTGCCAGAAGGAGAAGAGGAAGAGCAAGAAATTGAAAACTTATTTGAACAAATAATGGAGAACTTCCCCAATCTGGCAAAGGAAATATACTTCTATGAAGTCCAGGAAGTTCAGAGAGTCCCAAAGAAGTTGGACCCAAGAAGGAACACACCAAGGCACATCATAATTACATTAGCCAAGATTTGTATGAAGGAGAGAATTCTAGAAGCAGCAAGAGATAAGGGGACAGTCACCTACAAAGGAGTTCCCATCAGACTGTCACCTGATTTCTCAAAAGAAACCTTACAGGCAAGAAGGGGCTGGAAGGAAGTATTCCAAGTCATGAAAGGCAAGGACCCACATCCAAGATTACTCTATCCAGCAAAGCTATCATTTAGAATGGAAGGGCTGATAAAGTGCTTCCCGTATAATGTTAAGTTAAAGGAGTTCATCATCACCAAGCCCTTATGATATGAAATGTTAAAGGGACTTATCTAAGAAAAAGAAGATGATCAAAAATATGAACAGCAAAATGACAACAAAATCATGACCATCAACAACTGAACCTAAAAAAAAAAAACTAAGCAACTAGAACAGGAACAGGATCACATGGAGGGTTATCACTGGGGAACGTGAAGGGGGGTAAATGAGGGAAAAGGTACAGGGAATAAGAAGCATAAATGTTAGGTACAAAATAGACAGGGTGTTGTTAAGAGTAGTATGGGAAATGGAGAAGCCAAGGAACTTATATGTACAACCCATGGACATGAACCAAGGGCAGGGAATGCTGGAGGGAGTGGGTGGTACAGGATGGAAGGGAATAAAGGGGAGAAAAAAATGGGACAACTATTACAGCACAATCAATAAAATATATATTTTAAAAATAAATAAATATACATACTTTTAAAAAAGGAAAAGTAAATGTATAATAACATTGTTAAAATTATGCTTTTATAAGTCTCACATTTCCAGGTCTTTTACCTTAAATAAATTTTTTAAAAGACTAATTAGGAAGACATTCGAAGAATTCAGTGATGTTGCTAAAGTAAAATGGACCATGCAGTTACTTGCTTCCAAGGAATTCCATCCATGGAAGGAATTCCATTCACATATACTTATTTAATATGAATTAATTTTCTCAGTGCTTAGGAATAGCACTGAAATAGAGTCAATGCCAACTCTTACCTCATTCGCATAGAATTAACACAGATTGGACAGATCAAAAAAGGCCCAGGGTATGTAGGGCAGAGCAGAAACCATCCAGGCCAACCAAGGAGCATGCACAGAAATGTGAAAGTAAAAAGGCTCTTAGCATAGTTTCAGAATGGAAAGAAGGAACCATGACTGGACTGTAGAAAACAAGGTGAGTGGCAGGAACAGGACCACACAAATGTTGAAAGACGTTATGTATTTTATTCTTTACCATAAAAAACATGAGAAAGCTATTGAAGAGTTTTAAGCAAGGAGATAAGAGCAGATTTTTATTTGAGAAATCTGTCTGGAGAATGGATTAGAAGGAAATAAGAGTGAGTATGGAGGGAGATGATGGAACTGTGAACTACAAGGATGGATATCAAATGGAACAAAGTAAAAAGATTTAACGAAAGAGTAAAATCGATAGACGTCGATAATGGATTGACAATGGAGAAGCAAGTATTAAGGGTGACCCTAAACTTAGGTTTTCACAACTGGATAGACAATGATGCTACCTACTGAGATGGAATATTGGGAAAGTTCCAAGTTTTGGGGAGGAATCATATCTGCAGGGAAAAGTTCAAATTTATTGCATTCATATCTTTTTCTTAGAGCATAGAAAAGGGATATCAGGATGTATATAGAAAAACAAACTACCTACTTAAGAAAGTTGCCCCGTTGCTCTGCAAATTAAAGGAAGAGTTACAGAGAGTGATTCTGTGACTGCAATTTCTAGACAGCCCTCAACTGTAGACATTTCGGGTTGTAATTCTCATTTACTGTTCTTTGCCAGTTGTACTGTATTGTCCCAGCACTTACAGCAGGCAGGGGACATGCAAATAACCTCACCCCTTCTGTTGCTCTCCAAGCAACACATTGGCTTTAGAGCTTGGACAGTAACACCTTTAGGGGAACTTGGACAAATCATTTTATGTCAGTTGACCTTAATTTGTTCATATTTTGTTTAACAGTATTGCCAAAAGCATACTTGACTAAATGACCCCCAAGATCCCACCCAGCCTTGAAAGTCCAATATTCCATTCATTTACTTTACATATTCATTCATTCATTTAGCATATGTTTGTTAAGTGCCTACTATGTGCAAATAATTATACTAGATGCTACTGGCATAGTGGCAGATAAGACATGGGCCCTTTCCAGAGGTCACTTTCCACAGGGTTGCCTACATTGAGCAAGCAGATATGCAGTTTAGCACAGGTTGTTTAATAAGAACAGTTGGGATTCAGCTATAGAAGAGAAAAGGCTGTGTCAGAGAGGCAGGATGAAGGGGTGATGAGCCAAGCAAAGCAGACAGGAAGATTAAATTGACCACAAGAAGGTGGCCCAGAAATGTCTTATGATCATTATGCTCTAAAGCAACCCAGTGACAGTTGCTTGGTCTTTTATGTGAAAGTTGACTATGTAGAAACATAGACTGAGTAAAAGTATAAAAGTGCATCCCCGAGTTACTTCTTTCAGAAAAAATAAAATCATCTTGAATCTCCCCTAAAAATCTCCTTATAGAAGCCCCTCTCTCTTCTGTGTTCTATGATCCTAGAAAAGGTGTGTGTATTGCTTCTCTTGTTGACTGCTTGCCATAAAAATTGGAATTATTTTATGGAAAATGTGTATCTTCAATAATATAGTTCTCTATATTAATATAGAGAACTACATTTAATATAGCTTCATTTGCCTGCTTCTCTACATTTAATATAGCTTCGTTTGCCTGCTTAGTTGTCTTATTAAAAGCATTATATTACTACACAACATATACCCATATGATCTCTTTGCTTTTTTTGAATTTCTGCAATTCGTCCAACTATACTAGGTTTACTCTCCAAGGATGATATACTCCCATTACACCCTTGTTTTCCCATTTGTAACATTGCACTTGTGATTACTTCTTTATTGATTGGGACTCCCTTAGTTGCAGGTGATAAAGACCAAACTTGAACTAGCTTAGACAATAGGGGAAAGACTTACGTAAACAAGGAAAGGCAAGGAATTT